GGGTAGCCCCGCGGCGGGGGTCCGGGGGTGAAACCCCTACCCCGGCTTGGGCCTCGGGGATCCCCGCGTGACAACCCTGGTCTAAAGGACTTGTGCAACTCGTTGGGAGTGCGACAGGTAGACAAATGCACGTTGTTATTGTATGCGCTGGCCACCTTGGGCAACATCTCGTCCCAATTGACTTGATCCGGTCTAATATTCATGCGCAGAACTTGCTGCAGGATCTTGTTCATCTGTTATGTCTGACCGTTAGTCTCCGGATGACGGCCAGATGACATCAACAACTTTGATCCATAGACTCTCATGAGTTCCTGCCAGTTTTGACTCGTGAATCTGGTGTCTCTATCACTAACTATAGACAACGGAACCCCGTGATCACTAATCCAATGATCAAAACACTTTTGAATGACTAACTCCGTACGTGCCTCTCCAGGCAAAGGAATAAAAAGTGCATATTTACTGAATATATCGACTATGACCATGACTTGGCTCTTGCCGTGTCTACTCTTGACACTGGCATCCATAAAGTCGATGGAGACTGAATCTCCAGGTTGTTCTGGGATAGGCAAGGGTCTGAGAAGACCTAGAGGGGCACGCATAGTGGTCTTGTTCCTCTGGCAAACTTTGCAACTGCGAACATACGCATGCATCAGATTGGCTAAAGTCTTTTGCCAACCAAAGTGTCCCTCTGTGTCGTGACATTCCCCTAAGATCAGACTACGTACCTCCTCACTGTTGGGAATGCACAGGCGGTCTACTACATTAGTCTTCTCGAACAATAGTCCTTCAGTAGTGCGGTAGTCTGGTTCCGTCTCTGGGGCCTCCTTAACTCTCTTGAGGAGGTCACTATAGATAGGGTACTGCGCATACGCCTGTCTAACTTTCTCTTGCAGGTCCTTCCCTATATCCAGATAGTGCACTATAGCCCCAAAGTAGTCTGATCTCCTACTTAGAGCATCCTCCACTACATTGTACTTGCCTTGGACCGGTTTGAGCTCAAAGTCATACTGGTCTATCTCAGCGGCCCACCTAGTTAACTTAGGTGTCATCTTGGCCTGCGTCCTTAACCATCTAAGCGTATCGTGGTATGAATACACTTTGAAGTGCCTCCCAAGCAGGTAATGCTTCCAGTGCTCTAGGGCCTGCTTGAGAGCGTAGAGTTCTCTCTCGTACGTCGAGGTAGCAACCTTCTCAGAGGGCATCCTCGCCGACATGAACTCTACGGGTATGTAGCCATTGTCGTCGTCTTCAATTGTTGTAACACGGCACCTATACCATACTGACTCGCGTCCGTGGTGACGACAAACGGCAAGGACGGATCTGCCACTTTGAGGACAGGGTACTTTATTAACGCGCGCTTTAACCTCTTAAGCGCAGACGTACAATCTTTATCTCATTGCCAAATTGCCTCTTTCTTAAGCAACCTGCGCAAGGGAGCAGCGATAGTAGAGAAGTTTCACACAAACTTTCTGTAGTTGTTAGCTAGGCCTAAGAACGACCGCAACTCTGTCAACGTGCGGGGCGTCGGTCAAACCCTAATTGTCGCTATCTTGATGTCCTCTAGCTTAATGCCATCTCCGTCTAGTACGTGGCCCAAGTACAAGACTTGTGTCTTGGCCCACTCGCACTTCTTCGCATTAATCTTGAAGTTAACTTCTCTCAGCTTCTCCAAGACTTGCCTCAAATGACCCTGATGCTCCTGGAGGGTCCTGCTGAAAACTAAGATATCGTCTAAGTAGACTACAACGAACCTATCCAACCAAGGTCTAAACAGATCATTCATATAACGCTGAAAGTCCAAAGGGCATCACTATAAACTCATAATGCCCATATCAACTCCGGAACGCTGTCTTGTACTGGTCATCAGGGTGAACCTCTATTTGATGGTAACCGGACTTTAAATTTATCTTGGAGAAATACTTCCAACCCTGCACCCGATCTAAAAGATCGTCTATCCTAGGCAGCGGCTCAACATTCTTCACTGTGATGGCATTCAAACCCCTATAGTCTATGCATATACGCAACTCTCCTTCCTTTTTCGGGACAAATAAAACTGGTGCTCCAAAGGGAGACGAACTGGGTCTGATCCAACCCTTCTCAAGGACCTCGTCTAACTGCTTGCGCATCTCCTCTAACTCCCTAGGGAACATCCTGTAGATTGCTCCCTTAGGAGTTCTACTGCCTGACTCTATCTCTATTCTGTTCTGGATGGGTCGCGGTACTACTCCTGTCGGCGACTCAGTTAAATCTTTGAACTCTTCCAGCAGCTTGGCTATGGTTGGATCTGTGGGATTATCCCCTTCCTTAGGCTCAGTGACAGGTCTAACATATACCACAAAGACCTGGTCCTCTAATTGCTCCTTTTTTACTAGTCGCGGGAACGCGGGAGCACTGAGACAGCAATGGGCCAAGGTGTTGTCTACACCTAACACATGAAACAGGCGGGCAGTCTTAACCTCGCCTGACGGACTAGGGAGCCTACACTCAAGCTCTCTAAAATGGAGTGTGGCCCCTGCTGCCTCTCCCCAATCCATTCCTAACACTATATCAAAAGGAAGGTCATCCTGTACGAGGAGAGTCAGAGAATGGAGAACTCTCTCCACTTTCTCATCTTTCTCTAGGCGAAAATACGCCTGGACTCCCTCTACGTAGTCCTCAACACGCATAGTGCCGTCTACGAGGACACTGACTATGGGTTCTGCCAACTTTTGGACTTTCAATCCTAGCCTGAGCTTTTTCAGCGCTCTACGGCCAATGTAACTACGGGTAGCCCCTGAATCTATGAGGGCTCCTATTCTACTCTTAAAGACTTCTACGTCAACCAAGATCAATTGTCCCTTACTCTCCTTCTTCATTTTGGCCCAGGCTGGCATCCTCTCCTTCAATTCCTTTACCACACCTGTGAGGGACGTGCCTAGAGAGACGCTAACACAAGCAGTCTCTAGACAGCTAGTTAGGCACGGGCCTGCAACCTCTGTCATAGGCTCATGTGGTTTGGGAGTTTCCTGTATGCGCGCGCTCGCTTCCCCACATGGCCTTGACATAGGGGCAGTTGCGACCCCTACTGGCGGCTGCCTTTTGACTGCTGAGCAGCCCATCGGGCCTGTCTATACTTAGGACAGAATTTGATTACATAGGCCGGGTCACCACAAAACACGCACTGACCCAAGTCCACGCGTTCCTGCCATACACGCTGGTCCAAACCCAAATCTTCCCAGGGCCTGCCCTGCGGCAAGCCTGGGTGCCATCCTCCTTGAGGTGGCCTTTCACCTCGTCGCTGCGGGGACCAACAAGAACCCTGGCGATTTGGCGGGGGACCTTGACCTCTACCTCCCACTTGGCGGTTCCCTTGTCCGCCAACCCCCTGTGCGCCCGGTCCTCGGCCTCCCATGGCCTGGCCCCTTTGGTCCTGGCCTCCTCCTCTACCTTGCGGCCTCCCTCCAGCCGCGACAATAGCATAGGACCTCCCCTGCCCCACGCTACTGTCCTCATCCTCGAGGCCCCACTCGATCTGGCTATAGGGGACCTCGTATGTACCACCTTCCTCTAAAGTAAGGATCATATGATCCTTGGCCCTGACTTGGCCAGATATGGTACGACCTTTCCACTTCTTCCCCTTATCAAAGTCCTTATGTCAGAAAGTGGACACTGGCATGGACTTTGACTCGAACAGGACCACCTCTCTACTTCGCACATCATACGTGATGTCGGCCTGTTGAGATTTGTCAAAGAAATGTCCACGCAGGGGCTCTGGCATGGCACGCTAAAACAACTGAACCAACTGGGGCTCAGTGGTCTGGGACGGCTACCAAGTCGTCCATGGCGCCCTTCAGTGCTCTTGCACTCCTCCATTGTCGTGAGTGGATGGTCTGTAACTTGTCAGAGGCTCTAATGTCTCTCGTTGGGTCAGCAAATCTCTCTCTCAGGAGTTTGAAGAATTGAGGAAGGGGGGTGATCTTAGAATATGCAACCAGAACCGGCTGCGCATGTGAGGGATCTGACAAAGTTGGCCGCCTCATCGTTGAGGGTCAGGAAGGCGACGAGGACTTGCTCCTCAGTCAGGATGTGTTGTAAGTAAACATAACTATTTACATTGGTCTCCCAATTATCAATTCTCCTCCTTCTTCCCACCGTATGCGTCTGGGAATTTAAGCTTAACGGACTCTTTATGAGGCATGGCCTCACTCTCGACAGCGGCTACTGCTTTGGCACCCTCAATAGCGCCCTCACAGAACTTCCCCACGTTGTCTCTCAATCGCCTGACTTCTTCTCCAACGTGGGTGACCATATCGCGCGCAAAGTCTCGAAATCCTGACCGCATGGCACTCAGGGCCACATCGTGAACCCAGTTAGCTTAGCGCTCCTCCATCCACGCCTCGCTTAACACTTCGAAGTACCCCAACATCTTATCCATTTTGGAAGAAATATCTTCCTGCGCCTGCACCTCTCGTCTGCAGTCTCTGACCTTGGCCACCTCCGCGGTCAACCTATTAACTTCCTCCCTCCTCTTCTTTTCCCTTTTCATCCTCAGTTTCCACTCCAACTTTTTCTCCTCCTCTGTTTCTCGCCGTTCCAGGGGGTTCTCGATTGCTGCGAGCTCCTTGGTTAACGCGTCCCTCTCATCCTGTGGCACATACATCTCTGCCTCCTCGTTTTTCCCCAACGATAAGTTAGCAATCAACTCACTAATTTTCTTCTCCATCGCTGCCTCCTCATTCGTCGTGCCACTACTCTCCCCATTTACTTCCTTGCGTTTTCTCTCCTCTTCTGCTTCTGCTGCGGCTTCTACCTCGGCAACCTTTTTCTTCTCCTCCATCTCTTCTTCCAATGTCTTCATCTTTGCCGCCTGCTCCTCTGCGATTGATTTTAATTTCGCCTGCTTCATAATCTCTTTCCTCTCCTTATTTTCTCTCACTAAAGCAGTCATCTTCTCTTGTTGCTCCTGGGTATAGGGGCTAGTGCTTATTCCACTACGGGTCTCAACCATGGTGACAACCGGACTGACGACTCCAAACCTCACCGCGTAGACTCTAACCCCTGACTGACAAACCTACTGACTCAATCTAAAGACTCACAGAATCTGGACAGGGATCCTGCCAACTAGGGTCTCTAGCCTAGACCTACACTATGGCTGTCACTACTAGACCTGTTGCTGATCAGGAGGCATTTAAGGAGATCCCCCGTAACTCCTCAGGAATTATTTAACGTCGCAAACAGGACGACGCGATCAGCAGGTCTCTCAATACTTAGACTGCCTGTTGCGCAGCCCACAACTCAGCCTTTAGGGCCTACCGTGCCACACCGAGCAACCCGTCGGTCTGTACCGGTCCTTGGGAGGGTTAGGCCTCCGGGACAGTCGAGTCGTCAGACACAGTCTTTAGCTCTACTTGGTCCGGCAGGGGTTTGGTCAACAAGGCCTATCCTTCATCCACAGAGTACTATCACCTAGACAAAAAAGACTCGATGTAGAAATAATAGACAGACAGGCTGGACTCAGCAAGTACCACAGGGTGTGTGCACATCCATAGGGCGAGGGATAGGTTGAAGGCTTGGCGAGATTATACCGGCTCCAGCTCGGTCAAACTCGTGGTCAACGGCCTTGGTCAACGCTGCGGTCAACCCCCGGTCAACCCCCGGTCAACTCCGGTCAACTCCCGGTCAACGCCGATCAACTCCCGGTCAACGCCGGTCAACCCTGGTCAACACCTCCGGTCAACTTCTCGGCTATGGCGGCCGGCTTCACCTTCCTCGCCACCATTCACCTTCCTTCTCTCCACCTCGCCTCTTCCTTCTCCACCCTGACTGTCTGCTTTTTTTTTTATCGTCTCTCTCTCTTCCTCTCCTCGGCTATGGTTTCTCTCTCTCCCTCGATCTCTCCCTTTGTCACTCTCTCTCCCTCCTTCGTCACTCCGTGGTCAAGCTTTGCGGCTATGGCCTTCTTCTTCTTCTTCCGGGACTGCACTTCACAGGTACGTAACAGCCAAACTTGTATCTCTCTCTCTCTCTCTCTCTCTCTCTCTCTCTCTCTCTCTCTCTCTCTCTCTCTCTCTCTCTCTCTCTCTCTCTCTCTC